ACACTACAATAATATATGTATGTGCCCTGTGACACGCTGCCTGACCAAAGTTTGTACTACACTGGGTCACGCTCATTTTTTCGTCTAAGACATCGCGCAAAAGTGAACAGCCCACGAACACCTACTAGAGATCTTCTCGCCTATCACAACATGCAAATACGAGCATCATCTACATCACGTACCCTCTCCCTAGCATGCCCTCAAGGCCAAACGTGCTATTGGAAAAGGCTCGGTAACCGTGCTGCAATCATCGACCTGCAAATTATACTTGGCGAGGCAGCTCTGGTGTTCTTTTATAATACCGGTTATAGTGACTCTACGCGTCCAGCTGCGCCTGATGAAATACAAACGGTAGAACCGTTGTTGTCTGTAGAGATGTCCGAGGAGCTCTCTATCTACAAGTGTTAAGAACTATCCTTACAGCACATACTTTTGCTGTACTCACAACGACATCCAGCTTGTTACCAATGAGCCCGACACGGCTTAGCCAGCCAACCTTGCCCATCTGCAAGCACACAAGTCGCTGCGACTTTTGAAAACTCAATCACGTCGATATTCAAGATCGAATAGAGGACGCTTGCCGCATCGCAGCAACGCCTATGTGCGCAATCCGTCAGCTAGCGGAACGAAAGCTCATAACTCGATCCGCGGGTGCATATGCTCACCTCCGATCACATCTCTACGAGTATACTACCGGCGCCCAAATCAGGAGCTGCCGCATGGATCCGTTCCTCCATAATTATTATAACTTTGGACAGTACGAAGATCATCGTTTTCAATTCGCACACCAGGTAAGGAAAGTACGTCGCCTTATTCGTCTTACAACTGTGTAAGCCAGCGTTGGTGGGAAGAAATCAGACTACAGCGTCTTTAAATAAACAAATATAATTTTATCTGCGTGGTACATAGCATTGCACGACGTAGACGTCGAGATGCATGTATCTGCCTCACTTCCTGCTAAAACACCTGTTTATCTCCATGATCCTACTGGTACAGCTACTAGCTAAGTGTTGAATGTAAACAGGGCCGAGATCCACTAACTAGTGGGTTCCAAGATATAAAGAGCGACTCTGTCTTGTCTCATGGTGACAATGGAATATTCTCTTCTCGGCTTCCGAGCCAAACTCAGAGATTACACAATGAATAACTATGATAAGCAATGATTATTTCTGGTACATATGAGATCATGACTGAGTATGATACGTGGCTCCTAGCTCAACGCTATGCTTCACCTAGGTTTTCGTTTGTCTGGATGAAAAAAAGATGTAACTAATATCAGCCGAACTCATTTCTACATATACGCTGTTGAGTCCATCGCGAGATAGTGCCAAGCCAGTTAAGAGTCTCACGGTTTCGCTCATCAATATAACATTCTACCCCACTCTCTGTGCTTTGCTACCGCGGTCTCGTAAAGCCAATCTTTCTCACGGCAAATCCGCTAAATCTGGCAGCATTTGTCGTTTATTTGAAGTCTGAGTCGGAATGAGACGTAAAGATTAAGCACGATGTGTTCTCCGATATCTTGAGAGCACGGCACGCTAAAAAACCTTGGTGTCGATCTAATTTCGATTAGAAACCGCGATTGATGGCTCAGTGGCGGAAAACAATCATCAAGTTGTCTCACTGCGGCGTAGCGTGCGAATTTGACGGAACTACTCCATAATCACAACGTGATTGAGTCTGCAGAAGCCACAGCGATCTCGCGCATGCAGTCATGAAAATATGCTCGCAGAGCCAAGTCCAGCTCATTAGCAGCAAGCTGAGCGTCGACTAAAGCTTGCGGTGGGGTGTTGTAGCCCGAAGTGCGCAGAAAGAAAACTTTACGTGGCTCTGTGAGTCGTACTTGCAGGTTGTTCAGTGTGTAATGGGGAGTAAAATCTTATACGCGTACGTTTTGCCGTGTGCAGTGTTGCCTCGGTCAGACTGCCAAATCCCGGAAGAGAGTTTGCAGTCCATAACTATTGACTTCATTTTACCTGATTTACGTTCGGCAATGATGGTTTTGCGGACTTTGTATAACGGTGGAGCAACTGACATATCTCGCTGCTGTCAGCCCCACAACACTGCTGAGGTTCGACCAAGCTGTTCCTCGACAAGGTCGTTTGCATACATTGTTTGCTGGTGACCATTGTATCAGATCGAGATCCGCGCTCTACACCAAGTTTTGGCAAATTTTGTTTCAGGTGCTTGGCACCAGATAGGACTTATTCGCAGAGATACGATTCGAATTGCATGATGTAGGATGTATTTTGAATCATTTGCGCGAAGAGACGGAAGTGATAGAAAGGAATGCCCTTGCTCATTGAGTTTGCTTTATATTACGGTGTCCATGCTTCTACATGCTTGACCAAACTTT